CTTCCTTCCTTCCTTCCTTCCTTCCTTCCTTCCTTCCTTCCTTCCTTCCTTCCTTTCTTTCTTTCTTTTTCTATTTATTCCAAAATGTAGCGGCTTAAAACACCAAATATTATTTTAGTTTCTGTGGGTCAGGAATTTTAGAGTAGCTTAGCAGTATGGTTCTGGCTCAGGGTTTCAGAGGAAATTGGCCAGGGGCCAAGTCACCTACCTGATGGCTTGACTGGGACTGGATGATCCATTTCCTAGATGGCTCACTCACGTGCCTGCTGCTAGGAATCCTCAGTTGCTTGTCACACGGGCACTTCCGTAGGTTTCTTGAGCGTCTTTATGACACTCTGAGTGATCCAAGAGAGAGAAGACAAGGGGGATCCTCTAGTGCTTTTTTTGACTTATATCAAGAACTGTGAAGGCTCTGAATTTTACCCTAATTACAGGCTATCAGTTTCCTGGATCCTAGGATAAGACATAAGACTCTTGCATTAGAGACAGAGGGTGTTATTACTTAAGGTACTGCAAACAGTATGATTATCTGCATATTTGTATTTCTGGTTTTGCTCCCAAGTCCCACAGATGGGCCCAGGTGGATAGCTACACATGCACTGGGTCTTCTTACAGAACAGGAATCTTGAACTTTGGGGAACCTAAATCTTTTATTATAAATGAGAAGCATGCCTGCCCTGTCGCTCTGCAAGAAAATACCATCTCTATCTTGTAAGGCTGTAAGCAAACCTATTGTTTGCTCTAAAAGAAAGGACCTATTTTTGTCTTTCAAGGTTGTTCACTATATAAACATCCTTGAAATTCAGAACAACAGGTAGTTAGTATATCTGTCCTCAAAACTTCCAGAAATGCAGGGACCCAGGAAGAATTGTCATCTAATAATCTAGTGTCCAAAGTAACACACTGTCATTTCTGCTGTATTCCATATGTGATAAGCAGGTCATTTTTTTAAGATTCTATTTTTTAAGTAATCCCTACACCAGTGTAGGGCTCAAACTCATACTCCCGAGATCCAGAATCACATGCTGTGCCGACTGAGCCAGCCAGGTGCCCCTATTCCATATGTGATAAACAAGTCATTTAATCTAGCCCATACTTAAGGGGAGGAGAATTATGAAATAATTTATTTTAGGTCTACAATTTTTTTAAAACTCACTAAAATTAGCTTTATTGTTATAGGTCTCTTCTGCGGGCATCCTTGTTTACTACTATGCACTATAAGTGGCATGCGGCATTTTGGCTCCCCATCTTCCTTCCTAATGAGGGTTTGGTTTTCTCAGAGTTTTCCACTCCTCACACATATGCAGCCTTTTTATTCATTGTTGAATTTGGAGGGTTTTTGTGACCCCAGTGCAAACTAGTGACATGCCTAGATCTTTAATTTTGTCCTAACCAATACTGTTTTCTCTTATTATCATCATCATACTGAGTCCTGCCTTGTTACACTAATCTCTCTCAGGGAGAATCTTACTCATTTTAGATTTTCAGAAACTGCACATAGTTGGCCTATGCCCAGTCTACCAGATTCCAGACACCAATTTCTAAGCCAGAATGTAGTAGAAGGCTCCTGTCCAATCCTTCCTCTCTGTGACCACAGGCTTCTGTTCCAAGTTGAAGTCCTCATTTCCACCACTGTGTGCCACACTAAAGTATTAATGTAGGTAGGCTCATTCTTGGACCTTGCTCTTGGGCCTTACAGGTTCCAAAAGCTGGATACAGTGAATAAAGAATAACTGATGCCTAACATAACAGCCACATCTGTATTTTATTTTTATTTATTTTTTTAATGTTTTATTTTATTTATTTCTGAGAGAGAGAGAGCATGAGCAGGGGAGATTCAGTGAGAGAGGGAGACACAGAATCCAAAGCAGGCTCCAGGCTCTGTGCTAGCTGCCAGCACAAAGCCTGACATGCGGCTCGAACCCATGAACCATGAGATCATGACCTGAGCGGAAGTAGGACGCTCAACCGACTGAGCCACCCAGGTGCCCCCCACATCAGTATTTTAAATACTTCCCACTCCAGGGGTGCTTGGTTGGCTCAAGTCAGTTGAGCGTCTGACTTCAGCTCAGGTCATGATCTTGCAGTTCATGAGTTCAAGCCCAGCATGGGCCTCTGTGCTGACAGTTCAAAGACTAGACCCTGCTTCAGATTCTGTGTCTTTCTGTCTCTCAGCTCCTTTTTCTGTCTCTCAAAAATAAATAAAATTTTTTTGAATGTTTTATTTATTTCTGAGAGAGGGAGAGAGACAGTATGAGCAGGGGAGGGTCAGAGAGTTTTATGAAATTTGGAGACTGGTAGAAAAGTTATTAGAAAAGTAAATTCTAGCACTTAGTGAAGAATCTTAAATCAAGACAAAAAAAAACTGGAAATTTAGTAAAGGTATATAGCTACAATTCCAAATATTAGCTACCTATTAAGTATATACTTGTAATTAAAAATAGCTATTATCAAGTAAAATGTGACCGTTAGTAACTCCAAACTTGATTAAACTCAGTATTTTTGTATATATTACAATAAATAGTTATGTAATTATCAATTTTCAAAATACAAAGAGATTATTAGTTGTGTTCTAAATTAGTGTTTTTCAAACTGTGGGTTGTAACCCATTTGGTGAAACTGATTTAGGGGATTGCAATGACATTATTACAAAAATAAAAGAGACTAGATAATAGAGTACATTGTCATAAGGGTAAGTCTTACTTTGTGAAACTTTTATTTCCATTTTTATGTTGAGAGTATATACTGGATCACAAATAAAATGTCTTTCTTACTGTCTGTCATGTTCAAAAAAGTTTGAAAGGCACTGTTAGAAGAATATAATAAGACTCAAAGCTTAGTACCAGTAAATGTAAATTAATATCTTTTGAAGAAACTGATATAGTTTCTTTTTAATAGTTTCTGACTTTGTGAGGTGTTCACTTTATAGATGTGAAGAAAACAAATCTCGGAGTAAGGATGATTATCAAGCTGCAGTGGAAAGATTAATTATGGCTGCTCGTATATCGGATCCAAAGCTCTTCATTAAGCACATGACTGTCAATGTTAATAAGGAACAGGTTTATAGTTTGGAACATTGTTCTGCCCTGAAATGGTTGAAAGAGAATATGAAGTGGGCTGGAAAGGTTTGGCTTTTCAATAACCATTAGTTAATAAAGGCTTTTTTTTTTTTTTTTTAAGTTCAAGTAATCATTGTTGAAAATAAGAGGCAATAAAAGTAAAGTTAGTTTTCATTATATTCAGCTTTTGCCCTTTATTGGTTTATCATAATTTAATAGTTTCCAAACACTAAAACTTTGAAGTATACAAAAACGGTTTACCCACACAGAAAAATGACTTTGCAAATTACCTTTTTACTTCCCTTTAACTTAGGTAAACCGAAATGTAGTAAATCCCTATTTATTCTGAAATGCAAACAATGATAAATCACAAACTGAATATAGTGCAGCATTTAATGAGAGGGAGATACAAAACGAAAGTACATAAGGAGGTAACTGGAGTTTTCAGATGAAGCTTTTGGGGTATGTATACACAGGCCAGTCTCTAAATCCTATTCTACATCTATAATCTAGAATAATAAATACGATTGAAAAATGATTAAAAAAAAAAATCAAAAAAAAAAAAGAAAAATGATTCAAACACTAAAATTCTAGAGCACCTTCTGAGTTATACCAAAAAATTTTTAAATTACCCTTTGAATAACTATCCTTTATTGACTTAGAATACTAGATGTATTTTGAAAATTTGTAATTTGTTACATTAGATATGACTCAAGAAAACAGTGTTTTAAACAAATATACCACAATCTAAATACCCTAACAAGTACTACTCCTAACCACCTTAAGAAGTTAAAACTCCTTTTCAGGATCTATAGCACAGTCATTCTCCAAGGTGATCATTCTCAATCCTTGATTTGATACTGTAAACCATAATTTAAAATCATGTAGAGAAAAAGTCTGAATAAGGTGAATAATACATTGTGACCAGGAGGACTGAAAGTATTTCTTAAAGTTCTCAAAATATGAGAGTAGCATCACTGGAATAAGTGCACCCACCCAGAACTAAAAACAGTTACATCTTAGCACTTAGCAAAATGCCAGTTGACAAAGGGGGCAAAATTAAACTTCCTTATAATTTACAGCATATTGACAAGTACTTGAGGTGCCTCAGTGTTAATACTTTGTTAAAGGCAGAAGGCAACCTTAGCTTGACAGTAACCTGACCTCCAGGATCCTGTAAGTCTACTTTGACATATAAAAATCCCTTTGGAAGCTTCTTTTATCTCTACCCACCCCCACCCCCACCCCCCAAATATATGTCAGCAATCATCCTCCAAGCATATGGCCCACTGATACACATCTGAAGGGTCTCATGACTAAGGTTTTATAGATCATTGTAAATGACCTTTTCCTAACAGCTAGCCCCTCAAGGTCCTGGAAAACTTCCTTCCAAATCCTTAGAGACTTACACTACACCTAACCCCCTCCCAACCTGAATGTATATAATCAGGCACTCCTCACAACCGCAGTGCAGCTCTTTCTGCCTGGGGTCCTGTGCTCTAATAAAACCAACTTTTGGCACTGAAGATGTTTCAAGAGTCTTCCTTGACTATTTCCTCCCCCAGCATTTCACATCACCTATTACCATATGATAGAATGTGAAATGAATAGTATGAGCAGGAAAGGGAAAATGAGATGGGAGATGTCAAGAAAAATACCCACTTCTCTAGTATGAAAAAGTCAGGTGACTCCAACTGCCGTTACTTAAATGCAGCACCTTGGAAATAGATTAGGTCTGGAGATGACGACCATCAGTTTAAGGTGCCTTTGAGGACAAGTGGAGAATGTTAGTGGCCACTTATAAACTAGTCCTTCCTACAGATGGAAACTGAAACCCAAAGAAAGAAATAGACTGTTTAGATGCTTGTGGCCAGGATGCATTTGAAAAGATTACAATGGGAAAGTTCTATATTAAGCCTTTTTTAAATTATTTTTTACGTTATTTAAAAATAGGTGGTTGTTTTTTCAAGTTTTATTTATTTTGAGAGAGACAGAATGAGTGGGTTAGGCGCAGAGGGGGTGGGTGAGAGAGAATCCCCAGCAGGCTCTAGGCTGCCTGCCCAGATTGGAGGCTCTAACTCGGGAAACCACCAGATCATGACCTGAGCCAGAATGAAGTCGGAGGTTTAACTGACTGAGCCACCCAGGCACCCGGAAAATTAAGCTTTTAAGAAAAAAATGGGATTGAATGAAACATCACAAGTGACCAGATTGTTTCCAAGGATAAATCAAGGGTCCGGGGCACCTGGGTGGCTTAGTCGGTTAAGCGTCCGACTTTCGCTTAGGTCATGATCTCGCGGTTCGTGGGTTCGAGCCCCGCGTCGGGCTCTGTGCTGACTGCCAGCTCAGAGCCTGGAGCCTGTTTCAGAGTCTGTGTCTCCCTCTCTCTCTGACCCTCCCCTGCTCACGTTGTCTCTCTCCCTCTCTCTCCTAGAAATAAAAATATCAAAAAAAAAAAATCAAGGGTCCTTAGGGCCCGCTTTTTTGCTTCTATGAACAGTGCCAAAGGTAGAGAGAAAAGAGCAATTGTTGCTTTTGCCTAATTTCATTTGTTGCCGTTCTAGGGATAAAGCCAAAAGAGCAAAACAAAGCTAAAACCCTAGATGAGTAAAGAGGCGGCGGTGACTGGAGGGCAGGGGGGGCGCTTAACGTTTGAAAAAGGCCAGACATCGAAGGGACTAAAGTCAGAAAACGCAAACTGGAGAAATGTTTTAAAATCAGCTGTATTTCTATAAGGAATGCCAGAGGACGTACTTTAACAAGACCTTTAAAATCTGGAACTGCCCCCTGAGAGCCGGCCCAAAGCATCAGCTCCGAGAGCGGCGAGCACGCTTCACAGGGCCGGCCTCCCGGGCTCCCAGGCCGCCCGCGGGGGCCGTGGGGCGGGCGGGCGGGCGGCCCGGCGCATGCGCCCCCCACCCGGGCTCCAGCGCGTGCTCCGTCGCCCTCCGACCCCGTCCAGCCCACCCCGCTCCAGTCGGGCCCCGCCACCTGCCGCCCAGTCATTTTCTGACTCCCTCCGGCCTAGCCCGTCAGGTTTTGGGCTCATTCGCGTGTCCCAGAGCTTTCCGAGGAGCGCGCGGAGCCCACTCCCGGCCGGGCGGTAAGAAGGCGGAGGGGCAAGGGTCTCAGGAGGGTCCGGGGACCGCGGGCTGGTGGCCTCGGCAGGGCTCTCAGCGCGGGGCTGGGGTCCGCGAGGGGGTTCTCCCTGCGTCCGGCTGTGCGCAGGCGCTCAGGGAGGAAGGCCGGGCACGCGTCAGCCAATGAGAGCTCGAGCTCGGCGCCGGCCGCACGCCGGCCTCACCGCCAGCGACCCGCTGCGGCTGACGCCGGAGAGACGCGCCCAGAGGTGCGCGCCCGACTGGGATTTCAGGGACGGGGGCCTAGCGAGCACTGCTGGTAGGAATCTCAGCCTCTCCCTCAGTGGGGCGAGGGCAGGTGGGGCGCCGGGCCCTTCGGCGCGCGCCCGTTTCCAGGGCTGACTGCGGTGCGCATGCGCCGCCCTGCGGGAGCGACCGCCCTTCCTCGGGTACCGGGTGGGGGTGGAGCAGCTCTGAGGAACCTTCCCGGCGGACGTTCGCCCGAACTGAGCGGGAGGGGACGTGCTGCAGTGGTACCTTCGGCGCTGCACGGGGGCTGGGCGGGCAGCCTGCACAGTCCTCTCAGGGCGACGCGCTGACTCTCGAACTTGAGGCGTTGCCAGGCCTCCAGAGTACCTGCTCCGCATCGGCTTAAACTTGATGTGACAGGAGAAGCCAAAGATGGTTTAGGTTTGTTTCCGACTGAATGTCCCCGAAGCCCTTTACCGTATCTTAGGGACCTGTTGTGATGCAAACCTCGTAGCCAGGGACTTAGGAAGGAAACTGAAGAATCTAGAGACTTTGCTTTTGCTGGACTTTATTAATTTGTTTAAAGGACTTAACTGCTTTTGCTTTTTGCTTTTCTCGCTTCCCTGAGAAGTAGTGAACTGAAGAGCAGTGAAACATTGACGGAACACATGGTTTTTAAAACCCTTCCAAAATAATTGCTAAGATAAATCACAGTTTAAATGAGAGCAGTCTGGGGATATTAAACTTTGTTAAAATAAGTTACTTTCAAATAAAAGTTGTGCCAAATGTCCAAAGACCAATCCTAGGGCCTCTAGCAAACCCTGTTACGCTTTCTGTTATCTATCAGAGGTAAGCAGAATAGTTTATTTTTAAACAACCCGTAATTTGGTTTTTCCACCAGTTTCGATCATCTCTTCCTACCACGTTTGACCTGAAACTGCATAGATTTACTGCCTCACTGAACACAGAATTTAGGTTAGAATCAGAAATTTTCATTTTACGAAATAAAAGCTAACATCACTATTAAACGGATGACAGTGGCCATTTTCGATGGATTGTAAATAAATTGTGACCTTCCTCGTCTTCCACCTCCATCCGGAGGTCACCATCTCCTTGCGAAGGAGATGCAACCTTCCAGCCCCCCTCTCTCATTCTACCAGAGAGTGTCCGTAATACTCTGCACCCGGCTGTATTAATTCATTTACTATATTGTTTTATAATAATCTTTGTCTATTTTTCCACTTCCTCCCTCTTTCCCTACACTAAAATTTTGGACAAGTGGATTGTCTTAATGTTTGTTTTGTTTTCTTTGTTTTATTCCCGGTACTTTGCATAGAGCCCGGCACATAAGAACATGGTAAGTGCCAGCTGAGGACTTAAGTGAATTAAGGACCCAGAGTGCCTGAAGCCTGAAAAGTTCCTTTGTAGCATCCCTGAGACCTTTTCCACTTGGAAGAATAGTAGGCTCCACAAGAATTTATGTGGAGACAATGCGCCCCAGGCTTTAGACTATTTCTAGCAGATGAGTGCACCCGACTCTACTCTGAAGCGGTAGATTTTCAATCTGCTAAAAGTCATTTGACTTTCTGGGTAGCTAAGGCCTGTAAGGAAGAGAACCACAGATCTAAATCTTGTTAGCATTCCCATTTCTCATAGTCCATTAAAAAGTTGACATTGCAGTTGTCGGATCAGGCGCTTCTGATTCTGTTTCCCCGACGCCTGTTTATTTATGACTAAAGTGATGAAATTGGGTTCTGGGTCCTGCAGAGACGAGAACTGATCCAGCATTTGTGCCACGTGAAAAGGCAAGCAGTCATGCCTGCCAACCTTGTTGCGTTGGCTGGGTTTTAACCTTGTTTCTGATGATGTTTGAGGGTGATGGTGGGTTTCAGGGCCGATGGCCAAGAAAGGATTCTTGAAGACCTTTGGTGCAAAAAGGTGATTTTATTAAAGCACGGGGACAGGACCCAGGGGCAAGCAGCTGCCCTGGGGTTGTGAAGAATGACTGGTTAAGTACTATGGGCTTGGGGAAGGTAAAGTCCAAAGGCATGTTTCCAAGGAGACTTTCATATGCTAAAGACTCACAGATCACCAGAGGCCTTACTATTGTCAGGCTAAGGTTGTTTTTCCCTCTAGCAAAGCATTAACATTAAGACAGTAAGGAGTTCCTGGAGAAGTTTTACTCTGCCTGCCTCTTGTGTTTGTTAGTGGGCTGCAGCATATTAGGAAATTCAGAGTTTTTTTAAATGCCATTTCCTTCTTGCCTTTGTTCCCCACATCGCTGTGGAGGGAGGGTGATGTTGGGGCTCCGGGAAACTGAGTCTGTAGGTTTCTGGAGATCAGGCTCTTGATAAGATTGCCTTGCAATTTACAGAGATTATTTGTTAAGTGAGGAATGCTTAATTTGTTACGTGAGGATACTGAGGAATGCCACACAAATCCCACCGGGGGTTGGGTGCGTGGTAACGCTTGCTTATCCTTCGCCCTCAGCCTGCCCTATGCTCCCTCATCATTTCCAGTTAGAACTGTTTTTTTTTTTTCCTTTAATCTCAAGAAGTGGGTAAATCATACAGAAAACAAAGAACTAGTTAAAACAAAATTTAAAATTATTTGATTTTTCGCATACAATTGAGTACATAGAGATCTTTCCCTAAGTTTGTGTTAAAGAAATCTTTTTTAAACATTTTTATTGTTTTATTTTTGAGACAGAGAGAAAGCTTGAGTGGGGAGGGGCAGAGAGAGAGGGAGACACAGAATCTGAAACAGGCTCCAGGCTCCGAGCTGTCAGCACAGAGCCCAGCGCAGGGTTGGAACCCACATACGGTGAGATCATGACCTGAGCCAAAGTCGGCTGCTTAACCGATTGAGCCACCCAGGCGCCCCAAAGAAATATTTTTAATGAATTAAAGCTTGAAAGCTTCCTGACAGATACCTTGGCCCTATAAAATCATGACATTAGGGCTCCCTAAACCTCAGAATCCCAAAGACTTATTAAAACACACTGCTGGGCCCCACCCAGTTTCTGATTCTCCTGGCCTGGGGTGGGGCCTGATAATTTGCATTTATAACAAATTCCCAGAGATGTTCTCCCAGCTTTGAGAACCACTGCCCTAAAGGTTGTTTCCTGTTTCTTTTTCTTCTCTTCTTTAATCCCTACCCTTCCAGAGCCTAGTGTTCATCCCATCAAGATCAAGTTGTCAAAGCTTACGGAAACACTTAAAAACACTCCTGGGACTCTCAAGGGGAAACCACACATTTCCTATCCTGTCTGGTTAAAGAGAACCAGAACAAATACTTTTTAAATTTTTCCAATGATTTAAATAGGAAACAATCACTTTAGAATAATTTGCCAGATGTTGCTAATCCTTTATGTATATTATTTGTCACAAAAATCCTGATGCAAGTAGCCCCTACTTTTATACAAAATATACTCATTAAAACATGTACAAAAGTCTGATATGGGATTCCATATCCAGAGAGCTAAAAAATAATTACAGTATTCTAGATTACACTTCACCTTTTAGAAACAGTCTGTAATGAGTATTTCCAGCATTTTATGTGTCTCTTAACATTTTTTCTTAAATACACAGTACAGATAACTTTAGTGAGCATCAGATAAAGGACAGATGATGATACCTGTATTTATTGTTTCATTTGTATTAAATGTGTTAGTCTTTATTGCTAGCATTAGTAATGTAATTCTTGGGGCACCTGGGTGGCAGTCAGTTAAATGTCTGACTTTTGCTCAGGTCATGATGTCAGGGTTCATGAGTTTGAGCCTCACATCCGGCTCTGTGCTGAGAGCTCAGAGCCTGGAGCCTGCTTCAGATCCTGTGTCTCCCTCTCTCTACCCTTCCCCGCTCTCTCTGTCAAAAATAAATAAACATTAAAAAATTAAAAAGAAAAAAAGGAAATATAATTCTTTCCTTTTGATAAAATAAAGACAAATTTCAGCAAAATACTTACTGAATCAACATTTCTACAATAAAGTTTCTGACTAAACCACTCCTGTCTTGTAGACCGTGTTAGCTTAAAGTATTCTCTCAGTTAATGAAAATTTTTAAATTTTAAGTTAAAGAGCAATTTGGGGTGACAGTACATACATACAGGTGTTTCTGCTGTAAGGATATGTACACATCCCTGGAAATCCTGACATTATGTAGGATAATACACTAAAATAACAGGGTTTATGAAGAAAAAACACATACCACTCAAAATGAGACGTGGAAGTCTCCAGTGTTTCATCCGCTGTAGCAGCTTTCCGGAGAGGATACTTGAAGCCACTAAACATAAGCTTAAATCAAAGGAAGGAACTACTGGAGAATTTTCAGGTTTTGTTAAGCTCTTTACATATAGCTCAAACCATGGTAATTGTAGAAAGAGCACCCGTGATTGCTCTAAACCATTAACAGGCAGGGGAAAACCTGCACAGGGTGTAACATATTTCCCTTATTCACCCATTGCACATAAGCGAGTTCACGTTAAAAAAACTTTTTTTGTAGCAGAGCAAACAGCTCTTGCACCATCTGTTGTACTAGATGAGGAAACAGACCCAGGAGCGTGAAATAACTTGCCCCTGCTCACGCAGCTAGTCAGTGCCAGAATGAAGATTTGAATACAGATCTCGATAGAACAGCCTCCCTTTGCTAACCATTGTGCGGCATGCCTTATCTGACGGTGTCATGTTAACTTAAAGCATCTTTACCTTGCACTGGCTTAGACGAATACAATCCTATAGAAATATAATATGAGCCACAGATGTAATTTTACATTTTCTAGTAAATTGGAAAAGAAAAATCATGTTTTACCTCTAAAAAAGGCCCAAAAAAATGTAATTTTAAGAAATTTTTTCAATATCTAATCAGTGTAAAAATAATAAAGAGATACTTTGCATTCTCTTTGTGCTAAATCTTTAAAACCCAGTGCATACTTTACACTTAAAACACATTTCAATTCAGAGTAGTCATACGTGACTAGTAGCTACCACAGGACTAGATTCGAAATCTTTTTTACTCTACCCATGTGAACCTTTTAAGGAAATTGCCTACTCACCAAAAAAGTAGGCAGAAA